TTATTCTTATATGGTTGACTTATTTTTTTAGTTGAACATATTTAGTTTTAGGAACGGAAACATTTATGTGGTACACGACGTCATAATGCTGTGTTTTGACGTCACTTCAAGTGCACTATTATCCATTTTCTCAATTTTAAATAATTTTCACTACTTGGTTTGTTTACGAAAAGAGTTCCAGCGCAGTCTTGTCCCAATAAAATATTTTGTCAGTGTACAAAAATAAGAAAATGCATTATTTGTTTAAATATTTTCTTGGGGCAAAACTCCTTTTTAATGAAAGCGTTGAATTAAAGTCATCAAATTCATGTTGTCGTCAGATTGAGGCACTGGCTAGCATGATTTTTGTTTAATGCGTAATTTTCCCTTTTTTTGAATCAATTATTTTAAAACTGCCAAACAAACATTTACCATTGTTAACAAATTTTCATTGCATAAATAATACATATTAGGTACCAGTTTGTTTAATAAGTAGTGACTACGGAACTTAAATACTGATTTTTACTTGTGCTATTGATACGGAGTTTTATCGTAGAATGCGACTATCGAATTCCTTTAAAAAATATAATATATATTAAAAGTATACTTTCGAAATTAACGACAAACTGCAGTTTTTACTTTTAACAAAAGCTCCAAAATAACTTGAATTAACTGGAGATGTGATGTACCGGTAACTCGGCTTTAAAAGTGGCGGATTCCGTTCTCTACTAAGGGAAGTTATGGATACATTATATTGTTCTCCTCGTGATTTAGCGAAGTCAATCGTTTTATTCTTGGTTGTTTTTCGATTTGTTCCAAAACAAAAAATAAGAACACAGGAGTTCTGAATCACGTGACGAAAACTGCATTTCTGGGGCATTTTTACGTTCTCTACGATTAAGAAAAAGGGTTTGGGCCATGAATTAATTAACTACTCTTGAATATATGATTCATAACGTAGAGAAGGATACTGAAAAATGGACCAATCCATTAATATTCAAAAAAGATAAATCTGAATTGTTAAACCATTCTGATTTCGTGGTTTGTATCGCCATCTCTTTAAGTCGTTGTAGCATGAATGCTCAATCAAATTAAAAGATGATTTAAAGTGAACGGTCCTAATCTATAACTGATATATGCATGTTATACTTCACTAGATAACTTTTTACATTATGGAAGTACGTACAAATGTTCCGCAAATAAGAAATACTTAAATAATTCCAACTTCAAACTCAATTAATTGACATGTGAGTTATCATGGTTATGATGCCTCATTCGTATCACCTACACCTTATTTGGTGTTATTTAACTATGATAATTCAAATATTTTGAGGTCAGGGACCAGCATTTCCTATGATTATATACTCAGATTATAATGTAGCCTTTTGCAAATGATTGATGAAAAAAACAATTTACTCACAAAGCTTCTATAAAGATCGAAAATGTATTGCTTGTTATGTGGATTGTGAAAAAATGTTCCATTCTGTAGTGTAAAGGAAATTGCAATGTTTAAGGGACTTAAGCGAAGCCTATGTAAATATATAAAATAAATTGATATGTCTTCGTTTTACTCATATAAAAGCAAGAAAATGTGGTATGATTGCCAACAACACAGCTCTGCACCAGAGACCAACGGACGTTTATTAACTTACGGCCTTCAACAATGAGCATAGCCCATACCGCAGAACACGCTATAATGGCCACGACCTGATAAATAAAAAAGAAGTCAAAGGATTCATTTACAAACGAAAAACAAATATGACATACATGTACAACAACAAACGGCAATAACTGGATAACATGCTCCTGGTTTGGGACATGCACAAACAGAATAAGGCTTCGTGGTTAAACATGTTTGCTAGCGCCCAACTCTCCCCTTATCCTTCGTATCGACTAGCCATCGCACTGGCAATTTGAGCCCTCTGTAAGTAAAGAAGCCATGTGCCCTTTTACCTGACTTTCGACGTTTTTGTAGCTGAAAGTGACAATATAGACCTCTGTAGTTATCAAAGATGACATTATTCTAGGAAATCCTTTTGATGCAATCTGTAAACATAGTCTAAAAGATGATTCGATTTTATTGACACTGAAAGACCAGGAGTGTCTCACCGTCATTTAAATGGTCTCTGGTAGGTTTTCACTATATATTTTGAATATCAAACGGCACTTTGAGGCCTCCGAAAACAAAGATGACAAAAAGTTTACCAAAATTCCTTTTGATGTCATTTGTATCTTTATATTAACTAAGTATCTGCATAATGTTATGATGTTTGAGAGAAGTCTAGCCATCGTGCTGTGCCCTTTTATCTGAATGTTTAACGATTTTAAGCTGAAAATTAACAATTTAAGCCCTCCGTAGTTATTGAAAACGACATCATTCTTTGAAACGATCTGTATATGTATACATAGTCTAAAAGATCAATCAATGGTATCGATACTAAAAGACCAGGGGTCTCACAGTCATTTAAGTGGTCACTGGTAGGTTTAAATATTAAACTGGCACTTTGAGCCCTCCGTAAGCATAGAAAAAAAAAAGGTTTACAAAAATTACTTTTGCTGTCATTTGTATTTTTATATCAACTAACTGTCTGTATAATATTATGAGTATTGAGAGATCAAGGAAGTCTAGTCATCGGCCTGTGCCTTTTTACCTGAATTTTCGACGATGTTTAGCTAAGAAGTGACAATTTTGTTTTCGGCTTTCCATAATTATTTCTATTTCTATTTTTAAATGTTACTAGAGTGATCGTTTGTATTTGTTTCTAGAAATATCATGTATAATTGCATTGTATGGATAACTATCTATATGTCATAAAGACAAATATTCGATTTACATAAGGGTTTATATTTGAATTTATAACAGTTTGAAGGGGTCATGAAACGATTTTCTACATATCTTTTAACCCCCTTTAACTATGACTATCACGCTTTTAATGTTATCGAATATTTTTAAATTGTATTATTTTGAACTAAGAAATTTGAATATCGAACCGACTGCTGGCAGTCGGTTGGATATTGAATATCGAATAACGAACCGGCTGCTAGCTTCACATCTATTGTTTCGTCTTGTTGACATTAGAAAATCTTTTTACTCTTTCTTTTTTGTATTTTAGACTCCCTAATCATGCTAATATGGAATAACAAACATATTCATTTGTACGTTTTTTAGAATGTTGATTAGGGACTTTCCGTTTTGAATTTTCCTTGGCGTAAGGTATTTTTGTTATTTTACTTTTTAGTCAGTTGTGTTGTATGTCTTTGGTATTTTTTTACACATTTTTGGTTGCTGGATCCCAATTGTTGTCACATTAACCTATTACGTCTGTTTGGGTTTGTTACTCGTTCTGTTGATCGATAACGTAAGATTTTGTGATTTGTTGCTGATTTCTCTTTTTTGAATTTGCCTTGGAGTTCGTTATTTTTGTTATTCTTTTTGTAAAAGCGAACCTTTTTAAAGTTAATATTTTCATCCGTCACAAGAAAAGTCATCGGACAAAGTCTGCGTTTAATGTTAACATGACTGTGGTTTTAGGACTAGCTTGATCTGTCACATAATATGTCGTACATAGGAAAAATTGCAACATATGTTTTCATATGTTTAACATATGTTTTTCATATGTTTGAAAACATATGTAAACATATGTTTAGGCCCGACATGAAAACATATGTTTTCGAACATATGAAAAACATATGGAAAACATATGAAAAACATATGTTTTTAAAATCATATGAAAAACATATGTTTTTCATACATGTAAACATATGGAAAACATATGTTTTTCATATGTTTTTTACAAACATATGTTTTTCATATGTTTTCATACCTGGCCTAAACATATGTTTTCATATGTTTGTCCTAAACATATGTTTTCATATGTTTGGCCCAAACATATGTTTTCATATGATTTTATCTTGGTCCTCAATATATATTTTTTATATGTTTTTAATTGTTCAAATGCATTTATTTTCTCATAGATTCTAAACATGGTTTGTGTATATATGTTTTTTTTTTTGCGGTAGGTTTTTTAGAGTTATGTTTTGATGTTTTAATATGTTTTTCTTTATTATCTTTTTTTTCTGTCAGGAACTCATTTTGAGTGTAAATACTTCATTGTGATGAGCTGTTGCTTTAAAAAGTAAATAACCCAAAATACCAAACTCCACAGAAAATACATGGCAAAATCAAAAGCTCAAACAAATAAAAAACAACTGTATACAGGCATTCTTTTATGCAGAAAAATAACAGTGCTCCATAATTTTTATATCAAGTAGAATTTTTTTTTTTTCAACTTGTTGTCTCTTCTATTTTCATATTTTTGTCTCTTTGACATACCACATTTCTATTGTCTAGTATATTCTATTTTGGTTTGTTTGTCTCTTCGACATTCACCATTTCTATTGTCTATATTCTATTTTCATATGTTTGTCTCTTTGACATACCCCATTTCTATTGTCTATATATTATTTTCATATGTTTGTCTCTTTGACATACCCCATTTCTTTTGTCTGTATTCTATTTTTAATATTTTTGTCTCTGTCATACCCAAATTCTATTGTCTATATTCTATTTTCATATGTTTGTCTCTTTGACATACCCTATTTCTATTGTCTATATTCTATATTTTCATGTTTGTCTCTTTGACATACCCCAATTTTATTGTCTATATTCTGTTTTCATATGTGTGTCTCTTTGACATACCCCATTTCTATTGTCTATATTCTATTTTCATATGTGTGTCTCTTAGACATACTCCATTTCTATTGTCTATATTCTATTTTCATATGTGTGTCTCTTAGACATACTCCATTTCTATTGTCTATATTCTATTTTCATATGTCATTATGTGTGTCTCTTTGACATACTCCATTTCTATTTTCCTATGATGTATGTGATATTTCTATTGCTATATCACCATACACAGATATTTAATTGTCTTCACTGCTGGCTATTACTGGTGCATGTGTATGCAGCTGCTTTTTTGGAAACATCCTGTATGATTAAGAAAGACAACTAAATTGACTTTCAGTTCAATATTGTATTAATCTAAAATTAACGTTCTTTGGTTCTGTTTCTTTACTTTTCAGTTCCTGCAAGTAAAAATAAAAGAACAGAGTTTCAATGTCCACCTAGTCGTACATTTTTTATCTATCAAGGGGCAATATTAAAAAAAAAAGCATGTTTTTTTTTGCTCTTTGGTCAGGTTGTTGTCTCTTTGACATATTCCCAATTTCCATTCTCAATTTTATTTTTTGTTCTCAAAAATATTTATAAATAAAAATGTGTTTGGGGGAAAAAAAGTTATTTTTCTTGTATACTAAATATTTCAAACCGACCAGGGTATTACTATAATAGTATACTACATGTATAAGTTTAATAAAAAAAATGAGAGCATTTACGAGGCCATTTTCCATAAATTTATTATTTCCAAGGGGCATAACTCTTTTGAAAAAAGTTGATCGGCCAAATTTATAAAGCTTGACTAGGATTATGCTGATATTAACCTATAGAATTTAAGTTTTAAAAAATCTGGCAAGAATTGTACCTGCAAGACAAATATAAACACCTTACAATCATTCCATAAACATAAAGTAGTTCACCTTTACTTTTAGTATCTAAAAAAAAGACCAAATCAAGAGAAATTTAATATTGACCAATGAACAATGAAAATAAGGTTAAGGTCAGATGAAGCCTGCAAGATGAATGTAAAGTTAAACCTAAACACCTTACAATTTCAATTTACAATCATTCCAGAAACCAATTATAGTTCACCTTTACTTTATAGTATCTGGAAAACAGACTAAGCAAGAAAAAAATATCCAATGAACCATGAAGATGAGGTCAAGTTCAGGTGATTACTGTCAGACCCATTGGTGGCCTTTGGCTGTTTTTTGCTCTTTGGTCGGGTTGTTGTCTCTTTGACACATTCCCCATTTCCATTCTCAATTTTAGATCAGTACACCTTACAAACATTCCATACACCAAATATAATTTACTGAATGCTTATAGTATCCAAAAATTAGACCAAAACATAAAAACTTATTACTGAACCATTAAAATGAGGTCAAGGCCATATTACAACTACCAGTTGGACATCTACACCTTACAATAATTCCATACACCAAATACAGTAGACTTATTGCGTATAATGCCTGAGATATTGACTTGACCACAAAAACTTTCTGACAGAGTAGACAGACACTAGGACCTTGCAAGGTACCCATATACTAAGTAAATATAAATATCCTATTACCATGAATACTATAAATAATATTAATAAGAGAGAAATTATGAGAGAAATTAACATTACAAAAAATCTTTATTTTTTCAAGTAATCACTGAACCATGAAAATGAGTTCAAGGACAATGGACAGTTGACTGACAGAAACTTCATAACATACATATGCATCTATATACATTGTACATAGTATGAAGCATCCGTGTCTTCCACCTTCTAAAATATAAAGATTTGAAGAAGTTTGTTAACCCCACCATGGACGCAGCCGCCTGATCAATATCCCTATGTCGAGCTTTCTGCAACGGAAGTCGCAAGCTCATCAAAAAAACTAAGCCCATTTATTAGTTGAAATACAGAAAAATGAAAAAGAATATTTTCAAAATTTTGCCTTGGATACTGTAGTTTGGTCATTAAGAAGCTTCGAATATTCTGTCTCAATTTCACAAAATCCCATGTCTGTTTGACAAAGTTATCAATGTTCAAAAAAAATTTAACCACAGACTGAACCTAAATTTTAGGACAGCGACGCCGCCTCTGGCAGAATCTAGGATCACTGTCTCGCTTTCGTGAATTAAATTTGCAAGCTTGACAAAAAGCAGAACATGTATTTCAGAAATTGAAATTCTATGCAACTATTAATACTTATATGCTGTTATGGTCCTACATATTCATTTGTGTTCAATATTTTTCGCATTACACAAAGTCATGCTTTCTTAGACTGTTTGAAATGACAAATGTTTTGTTGTTACATTAATTGATTAAATCTGTCGAAGGTGAACTGATAGATATTTTAGTTTGGGAATACATAATTTTTGCATCTTTTATTATTTTGTTATTTCTTTTTAGTGCTTGTTGATGAGTCCAGCCCTTTCTGGCTGATTCTGACATTTGGTTCTTATGTTGGGTGCTGTCTGCCATACTGTGTGTAGTTTTATTTTTTTTATTGGTTCACATTTTTTCATCCTTATACAAGTTACATGTATAGCCATAATAGGTTACTTTATGGTATGATTTTGATCATTGTTTATGGCTGTACAGTGACCAGCAAATGTTTACATCTTCGTCCTTTGGTTTTTTAATTGATAGTTGTCACATTGAGAATCATACATGTACCTCATCTCCTTATACATGTTATATCTATATGCTGGTTCATAAAAAAAGCTTAAAAGGAAATTATTCAATTGTTATACATGTATGTTTGAAAACTCATTCTTATAATGCAAAAACAATAATCGATTGATTTTTCTTGCTTATTTTAATGTTCAGTGGCAAATATTTTACAATGTATGTATATTTTAGACGAGAACAACTTTTAAATATACAATTCATAATATAAGCAAATGCTATAATTATTTGAACTTCTATCATCTGATGCGTGTGTGTGTGTGGAGCAGAAGAAGGAGAGCAGGATAAGGATTCCTTGATGCATACTTGACATCAGAAAGACATAAATAAACAACAGTATACATGCCGTAACATGTACAATTACACTTGAAAAAGGTTTAAATAGATAACATTAAATTATTTAAATTAACTGCAATTCTACAGATGAACTTACTTTGATACCAGTTCTTTTTGCCGGACATCCGCATCTACATGTACACCAGTGATTCTAATACTGCACTTTCCTTTCATTTGGTAACCATGGTAATAAGCTAAAATTGTAAATCTTAATTTGATCCAGAACTCCAGACAAAAACTAAATCATTTTTGTAGATGAAGTATGAACTGATGCTCAGAGTCACTAATTAATATTTTTACTTTTGAGTGAATGGAAAAAATGTGTAAGCAAACAACAACGGTCGTATAAAAAGATCAACAGTGTAACTAATATTAATAATAATATATGTATAGCCTAAGCCCGTCTTAGTATAGTATGAACTTTTTCCAATATAAAATCATCTATTCTGCTGTCTACAGTTTAAAATAAAATGCTCTGCTGGGCGCAGCTTGATACGACAGCAGAGGTTGAACCCTGATGGTTGGGGCAAGTATGGATACAACATTCAAGCTTGATACAGCACTGAATTTGGATTGTGATTAAATATTTGACACAGCATAGGTTTCTGACACAGAATGAATGTGGTCTAAGAACTTAAAATTTTTTAATTTACCTATTCAAACCATATCATTATTATTTGCTTTTATATATAAATCAGAAATAACCAATTAATTTAAAATGGAAAATTTTAAAGAAAAAAAAAGGAAAAAAAAATCCCTCCCCCAAATTTTTTGAACCCCCTTATGATTCATCACCCCCAAACTCAATCCCAGCCTTCCCTTTGTGGTATGGTACCTTGCAGTACAATTTCAGAGAGATCCATACACTTGAACACAAGTTATTGTCTGGAAACTAGAAAAATGTTTGTTTTAGGCCCCTTTTTGGTCCTAAATTCCTAAACATTTAGGGCAATTACCCCCAAACTCAAACCCAGCTTTCCCTTTGTAATATGGAACCTTGTAGTACAATTTCATAAAGATCCATACTCTTACACACAAGTTATTGTCCTGAAACTAGAAAAATGCTTGTTTTTTGCCCCTTTTTGGCCTCAAATCCTAAAATTTTGAGGCAATTACCCCCAAAATCAATCCCAGCCTTCCCTTTGTGGTATGGTACCTTGCAGTGCAATTTCAGAGATCCATACACTTGAACACAAGTTATTGTCTGGAAACTAGAAAAATGCTTCTTTTTGGCCCCTTATTCCTAAACGTAGTTACCCCAACACTCAATTCCAGCTTTCCCTTTGTGATATGGAACCTTGTACATGTAGTACAATTTCAGAAAGATCCATACACTTACACACAAGTTATTGTCATGAAACTAGAAAAATGCTTGTTTTTTGCCTTTTTTTTGGCCCCTAATTCCTAAAATTTTGAGGCAATTACCCCCAAAATCAATCCCAGCATTCCCTTTGTGATATGGAACCTTGTGGTACAATGTCAGAGAGATCCATACACTAACACACAAGTTATGTCTCGAAGTTACAAAAATGCTTATTTTTGGCCCCTTATTCCTTAACTGTTGGTACCATAACCCCCAAAATTAATCCCAACCTTCCTTTTGTGGTATTGAACCTTATGGTAAAATTTCATAGAAATCCATTCACTTAAACTAAAGTTAGAGTGCGAAAAGCAATGTGTCTTCGGACGACGACGACGCCAACGTCATACCAATATTCGACCGCAAAATTTTTTTGCGGTCGTATAAAAAACAACATTTAGGCATTAACTCTTGATGTTTATTAAATCTTGATTTCCTGTTACATAGGCAAAATTGTTTAAATACACCATTTATAGGCATGTTGTGGAATCTCAATAAATACTTATGATTGCAATGTACGTTTAATCGTTGTTGTAGCTATGAAATCTATACAATAACGTCATTCACTACAACGTTAGGGTTACAACATTACCATAGTTCAATGTTAGTACTTCGCGTATACTATTTTCAGACAAGGCAATATTAACTCATGAACATAATATGTTGTCATTTGTGTTACCATCCATACTTCATGCACTTAATAAAAGAACAGCGCTTCAATGTACTTCGCCAATTGATGAATATATAAAATTTGCTGTCAAAAAGCAAAAAATATGTATGTTCTTTTAACCTTTTTCATAAATTATAAATAATCTAAAAGAAATGAAGACATGTGTGGGATTGCTTGCAATGCAGTTTTTCTTACAATATCTATTTCCAAGAGGTATAACTACTGTAAACATATTTGATCAGCAGTTATTTTCTAACTCATAAAACTAAAAGACCATGCTGATATAGACCTATGGTATGAATTACAAAAATATCTGACAAAAAAATGCAACCATAACAGTGCTTTACTAGAAAAAATGGCTATCTTCCATAGAATTTACATTTCAAAATGAAGTAATTCCTGTATAAATAATTTATCCAAGACATTACTGGTATATAATAAACCTTTGGTATACATTATTATATGAATAAACTTTAGACATAGAAGTATGTCTTCTCTGTATGAAATCCTGTTAGTTGATTTCAAATAATGATATTCAAATGACAATGCTTAAACATCCAAAGTCACACACCATCCATGACTTGACAAAGTTTCAAAATCAATAGACCATGACTGAGGGGCTGGGCAAAATAAAAAAACAAGGGATATGAAATGTGCTAGTACTCTGACATATACAACTGCATATCAATTCATGCAAATATCAATGATTTATCATTATTGGTTCACTCAAACTGACCTAATCAGAAACTTTTCACATTTAAGTTAAGTAAAAATATCAAAGTCAATCAACCATGACTGAGGGATTTGGACCATATAATCTCAATGGAAATGGAAATGAGAAGTGGATATCCTACTTCTACTGCAAAAAATATTATTGACTTATTTAACCATAACTCGGCCATAAGTTATTGTTTGGTTCCTCTTAAACTGACCTAATCTCAATTTTTAACAAATTGTTTATGACTTCACCTCTGTTACAGCATGCCCAAGACTCACCTTCATGACTGTTGTTGCAAGACAAAAAAAGAACAAGCAATGAAGTGTTAATAGAGCTTCCAACCCTATTTTCTATAAAATTGACCTGTAAAAAAAAAAGTTTGTCACTGCTTATAGAAATAGCCCACAACAAGAATCAAAACTTTCAACTCTATCATGTCTATGACCTCAAAACTTGCAACATATATGTATACAGTCTGACAACAACAAAATATTTAAACAAAGTTATCCTCTTCATTACATACCTCTCATCACAAAATTATTCATAGACTACTGCTCCTTTTATGCACATAAATCAATATGACAATCTATGAATCCATTATATAATCTAGAAAGCAAGGCCTCAAATGAATTCTGTTCTGTTGAAGTACATGTACAAAATGTACTTTCACTGAAAATGCTAAAAGAAATAATGTATAACATGTTCAAATGTATAATAAAATGAAGTTACAATACATCTGCCAAATTGCCTTAAATATTTTTATATGGCAAAAATGGCTTATTTTGATCTTTTAAAACAAGAACAACAGATCTAGACTTGCCCTGTTTCTTGTTGCTGTATATCATATTTGTTTATTTGTTCCTTGTTTTGTTTATAAATCATTATCAGTCTGTTAGTTTCCTCATTTGCATTGTTTAACATTTGTCATTTCCATTAAATGTCTTTTATAGCTGACTTTCTGGTATGGGCTTTGTTCATTGTTGAAGTCATCTTGTACATTTGTACCATAACTTTAATATACTTGTTAACTTCTATGTCATTTGATCTCTTGTGGAGAATTGGACTCTTCTCATTGGCAATCTTACCACATCTTCTTATTTTTATATTCACATTTAAGTAGATGTAAAGTAGACCATTCATGCACTCTAGGGTCCACTTCTACTTATAATGTACAATTAAGGTGATAAGACCTGCCGCTGTAATAGCCTGGGTCATATTTTTCAGCTTAAACATATGTGAATAGGTGTGGAAAACTATCAGAAGTATAATACATGTATGATAAGGCTGAGAAACACTAGATGTTTATTGTTATAGTACTCAGTAATAGTAGTCTCAGACTCATGATAATCAAGGCTTATTGTACTTGTCATATGATGGGGGGTAGGAGGGGTCCTGATCCCGAAATCCCGGGCTTAAAAACATGGAATTCTGAGGTCCTGAATTTAAAAAAATTTAAATCCAGACATCCCGAAATTCGAAAAAAAAGAATTCCCGGATCCCGAAAGGATCAATCCCGAAATCCCGAGCTTAAAAACACCCGATCCCAGAGTCCCGATAAAGGTCCTACCCCCCTCTCAGATGCAAAGCCCTGTAATTTTCTTACATTTGTGTAGTTGCAAGTCTCGTTTTGCCTTAAGTTAACATGAAATAAGGAATTTGAGCCTCAGTTTTGAGCTTTAATCAAATGTGATGATTTTCTCGGTAATTACCGGAATGTGATTCTTGTCCGCTCCTGCATGTCCTGGAATCATTCATTATTAAAATTGGGGAAAGGTTACATGTACATTATTACCTACGCGATGTATGAAAAGGTATATACATTTTTTAAATCTAAATTATATGAAAAGGGGGGAGTAATTGATCCCCAGGGGCACCCCTATCTATTAAGTGTAAAATAGCTATTAATTGCTAGAGAGATAATAAAGTCGTCTACATTTTCATGGTTTTAAAACAACTGAATGTCAATGTCGTTCTCAGGTTTACAAATATCTACAGTCAAATAGTCTTTCGTGAAAAATAAAGCACACACATCTTCCTGCTTTAATCCAATAATTAAACAAAATGTGCATAATAATATTTACCTTTCGTTCCGCTTTTAGGGTACGTAAAATTATCCATCAAAACAAAAACACTTTGACTTTTGTTGCGTTGACTTTCGTTTCATAAATTTTCTATGTTTCGTTCCCCGGTTTCTTCCAGTTAATCGACAAGTCACCCATTTCAATTTATCTGTTTATAATAAATTTTTGATTCACCAGTTTGAAAAACCAAAGTTCCTTGTATCATCTATCTCTGTCCATTCTTAAAAACTTTTAAAAAGACAGCAACAGATGATCGCGTGAGCGTCCATGGATTTTGCGTCATAGTATAAAAAACGGTAACGGTGAAAAGATTTCCGGGTTTTCGTGTTCGACGTACCATGCAAGCTTTCGTACATTTACGTATATTTGAGGGTCTGGAATCTAGATGGGAGTTTAAGAATAGAAAATAATGACAAAAAGTGCAAAATAAAGAACAGATAGTAAAAAAAGGCAGAAATATAGAATAAAGAATCATAGAGAATAATTGGATTATTAATAATAAAAAAAAAAGAATTGAGAATAAAGAACAAACTAAATAAAGAATATTTATTCATATTATTATTTAATATTTATAACCCATTCACTTATTCTACATTCTGTTCAATTCAAAATTAGATAGCTCTGCTGTGGGGGTGACACTGACAGGGCTGACCTGCTTTCATCATCATGATCATGTGGGATTTAGTGGGAAGAGTAGAAAGTGAACTTTCCTGTTTGAGAAATACGCTATATAGATAATAAATGAAAAAGTGTATGTGATAATTAAATGACAAATTTTGACATTTTCTCAAAACATTTTTTTTTAATGTCCTTTAAAACATATGAAAACATATGAAAATCATATGTTTTTCATATGTTTACAAACATATGTAAACATATTTTATAAAACATATGAAAACATATGTTTGCTTCCATATGTTTTCATATGTTTCAAAACATATGTAAACATATGTTTGTAAACATATGTTTTTCATATGTTTGGGACAAACATATGAAAAACATATGAAAATCATATGTTTTTCATATGTTTTGAAAACATATGAAAAACATATGTTGCAATTTTTCCTGTGTATGTTAAGTATGGCAGAATGAAATGTCTAGTAATCAAGTTCATTAGCTGTGCAAGTTATGACCGCATATTTTTATTCTAAATGGTTCATACATTTTAAGGAAGATTATTCCAGTATAGGAAAAATGTATTGTCCGTCCTTCAAATTTCACATTGTTCCGTTCGAAATAATACGTCCAATATTTACTAGCCGACTGACAACCATTAATTGAAAAAAGATATGGTCGGTTCAGGTATCTGCAATTGGTTGTATTTTATTAGGAATCTTACATTTTACAAAAATAAATGCTTTGAAATGAATAGTTTTCAATCGATGTTTACTATATTCAATACTCTAATTCTGTTTTTAACGTAAATTTTTACAAGGTGTAATACCACCAAATCATAGTACGTCACATCCGGTTGCATACGAAAAATGGTCGAAAACAAAATATCCGCGATAATTTGACAATTGTAGGAAATTAACCCTGCATTTCACTGCAGAAATGATTTTTTTAGTAATAAACATATAACATGGGTGTTTAAAAGCACCATTTATTTTTTGCTGTTTCTATAAAATATTTTTGAAACTTCAGGAGACATGTTTACTAAAGCTTGTTAACAGGAAAAAACGATGAACATTTTATTAGTTTACTTCCGGTGATGGTTATTATCTTACATGCAATGATAAGTTATGTGAAATTTTCATTGTAGTACTGGACAGGATACAACTTTACTCATGGCAAGTATTTCTTTATTTGAAACAAAGATAAATTCTGCACAATATTTTGCAAAGTGCCAATTTAGCAGAGACTAATAGGGGAAATCATTGGTGGTATTACTCCTACAACAAAATACCACTTAAAGACTTAATTTTTCAAGGGCATTTCACAATTGACTGTTTTGCAATGAAGGACATTAACAAACAAGTGCATTTAGTTTTTACCTTTTCCTCAAATACGTCATATACGTCACGTGATCGGTACGTGTGTTCTGCATCACCGTCCATAGGGTCATCTATTTTGTGAGCGTTTATTAATTTATCAATCAATTTATTAATTGATGCATTGTAAACATGTTCTTATCATGTTTTTCACGATATAAATATTTACAAACCTCAAGCAGAACGCGTATGTTAGAAACTTTAAAATGTTTATAAACGTAATAAAATTAACAAACACAAAAGACCATAAACAGAATTATCCAACTGAGTTACAAAAAAATCATGTATATTTAGTTCACTAGTTAAAGGTTTTCGTTTGGTTTGTCTGTATTAACAGGCCTAGGTGACTCACAAACAAACAATTTGGTTTTCATTCATTTTTATCATTTTTGCTGGAATTCAGTCTTGAAAAGGTGCTGTCTATTAAAAACACGTTTTACATTTTTCAAATGGCACTTGATAATCTATTTTCTAAAAGTTCTTTCTTAATTGCGTACACCATTTCATAAAAGAGAAGACAGAATATACAATGAAAAATATGAAATTGTCCATCCTCGAAATTTGATCTCAATTGGAAGGGAATTGCACATTACAATTTTTTTTAAGATATTGCAAAACAGAAAGTACAAATGATTAGCTTTCGAATGATGCATTATTTTGCAAATTTTAATTTCATGGCTAATAAAACTCAAATTTAACAATAAACTGTTTAATTAATAAGAAGATTTGAAATCAAGTCTGCATGAAAAAGTTAATTCCGGCGGTTTCTGTAGGCGAGTACTACGCTCTTTGAGGAATAACCCTTTCAAAAACGCATTCAGTGGACAAGGCCTTAGGTGGTATTTTACAAGTCTACCTCTACCTTGCATACCCTGATTCCCATCTATCATGGGTTGCTCACCTAATTTTGTGAATATAACACAACTATAAACAACTGTGATACAAGTACGAGGCATAACTAGCTAAAAAAAAACAGGTATAACCCACCATTTTCTTTGGAAAAAGCCAAAACTAAGTCAGGAATATGACAGTTGGTTTTCACTCGTTCCATCTTGGTTGATAGCGTTTGATTTTGTCAGTGTTTATGGGCTTTCACTGTTTTTATCTACCTTGGAGTTCGGTTATTTTTTTTTACTAAAAACGGTTTCATTAGTTTGTTTTTAAGAAGAACTAATTTTGTTATTAGTTGTTATTGGCTTTGAACTAACTGTTAGTAACTGCGAGTAATCTCAGATCTGTGTCCTTTTTTTTGTTAGGAATAAGGGATGGATAAATACCCTGCCACACCAGGCCTGTGTTTAAGTTTAATGTTTACTGCTTTGTATCGATCGGATGGTTTAAGCCTTTTTCAACAGATTTTTATAGTTTGTTCTTATGTTGTGCTGTTACAACACTGTCCCAGGTTAGGGGGAGGGATAAGCGCTCACAAAGATGTTTAATCCCGCCACATTCTTTATGTGCCTGTCCCAAGTCAGGAGCTTGTAGTTCAGTGGTTGTAGATGGTTCATGTCTGTCATATTTGATTTTCGTAAATGGTTTTGTTAAATTAGGCCCTAGGTTTTCTCAATTGAATTGTTTCTTTTTTTATTCGGGCCTTTTATAGCCGACTATACGGTATGAGTTTTTCTCATTATTGAAGGCCGTACGGTTGCCTATGTATATAATGGTGGATAGTTGTCTTATGGCAATCATACCTCATCTTTTTATTCTTGAATAGGTAGTACTTTGTATTTATATAGCTACCGTTAATATATGTCGAGATAGATTTTCGTAATTACCGTTTTTCATAGTTACAACCTGGAATTGTATCGAAACGGCAATAAAAGGGTTGTTGCGCACTGTCAATTAAGTTCATGCTTTAACAGGACTTTATATTCTTTCCGTGTAGACATGTGGAGTTAAAGATTTTTCTCAAACAAAGGCTGTTCCAAACGTTCCAACAATTGACAAGAGTCTTTTGAAAGCCTTTACTGCAAACATTTTTATTTAACTCACACAACAAACTTTACATTAATTGAGCTTATACAGCAAGTTCAGACGACTACTAACATTACATTTGCAGTAGCGATACCCCAGCTCTTGTAAAAAGCACAGACAAAGAACAAAAATCAGTTCACTGTTAAACAAGCTTAGCAGGTTCAGACTGGTGAAATTTCGCGCCTATATTGTCCTAAATCTCTTGGGTAAAAGTACCAGGCAAGGTCTGATTTGTAGTTCTCTGTCGAGAACAAACTTTTAAATTTCCTCTTTAAGAAATGGATACTGTATTTTATTGCATTCACATTCAATGTAATCATCACATTGTTTTACAACAAAATCCGTAAAATTCAGGTTCTCTCAGGATTAAAACATTACAGATAAAACGCAAAAACGTATTACCTGTTTAAATTCAAACTCGCGCAAATGAAAATTCGATTCAGTTGAGCAAGACATTTTCACAAAAATAAAACTTTTCCATTTCTACGTTCAGGGCTTTTTAATACTATTTCTGGCGGCTTGGTGGCATGAGGAAGAGAAAAAAACGCGGATTGTGACAATAACAACTATAGTTGACTTTGTATTTTTGAAATAATTGTGGACACGATCTTTTGTTTGGTCGGTTCATCTTTTTGAGAGGTTTTTTTTAGAATAACTTATATTCATGTATGTCTGTGGTGTAAAGTTAGTGATACAGAAAAATACATGCAGTAATTGATATTCAAACATTTTCTTTGTTCTGGTTTTTATTTCTGATATACAGTATGTAAGGTTGCAAAAGTATGTGACATGTTGAATCAACAGCAATTACGGATTGATATCATCGTTGCAAAAATAGTTAAAATAGAGGTGTTGAAACGTACGAGCAGTGGAATATGTACGTATATTATCCGCAAATAGGTCACCACACACTGAAATTCCCCTAAATAGTTTTGTACTCAATTAATGTCGATGAAATGGAATGTATGATTGATTATAATGTTGAAATTTGGTGTTCTATGAATGACGATTCGGTCCAATCATAGATTATAAAGCCATATCTATGGTTCAATCTGTTTTAAGAACCACAATACTGGTATTATCTTAAATATTTAAATAACGCTTGATCTTGAAAATGATTTATTCAGTTAAAAGACATTAATTAAGGATGCATTGGAAAATTTTAAATCCGCCACATGTTAAATCTACCTTCTCACATTTGTCGTTTGAACCACATTGGCCAATACCTGCACAACTTTTATTTAAGCATAGTTCCCATTGATAGTCTAAACTTGGTATGATTCGTTCGAACCTTTTTTTACAACAGTCTTCTGTTTGGTTCTCCGGAACAACGAAATCATTTGGTACACAAAGCGTGCATGCGTTATTATCAATCAACACCTTCTGGCATTTTTTCTCTACACAGCTCAATGGGCATATGTTGACACATGTTTTCCACTGAGCCTTTCTCGCTGTTACAACACTTTCAACATGGCAAACTGTTGCAGAATTAGAAATTCCGAAACAATCTAAAATAAAATAAAGCATAATGTGTCAAGCAAGTGATTGGTTTCATACAATCATCTCAGTATTTATATTTTCAAGTTTTGAGTGTACCTCACTTAGGAACTGACGGAAAGCAAATACAACAATTTTCCATGCAATCAAACTGAAATCGGCGTTAACTAAATATAGCTATTTCATTTAATATGAGATTTATTTAGGGATCGCTCTCTATTATCAGAGGGTAATTCGACGTAATATAATCCTATTGGATCGAAATTAAGGGCTGATTCCCCTTACTTTACTTCATACCATCTCCAATTTCATAAAAGAAAAATGATCCCGATTCTTACTGAATTCACAATATTACAAGTTCATGTGTGTAAATATATTACAGCATTGTTATTTCAGAACAAAATGGATTTTGACATTAGAGTC